TCTGGTAAAAAAAAAGGGGGGGGGGGGGGGGGGGGCAGGAGATGAAGAGAGCAAGAGGGGTGACTATAAATCAAGTCATCTTTACCATAGGCAAGGAGCAGAAATCAGGCTGGGGTGGGGTTCTGGCTAGAACCACCTGATGGGCACTTGAGCTCTCTCAAAACTGAGTTTGAATATCAGATTATTGAGAGCAGTGAAGGACAATGGAAAACTAAAAGACAGGAACTTAAGAGAAGGGGAGCTGCTGTCTTTGGAAAGCACAGGGTGATTTTTCTCCTAAGTTCTTGTGTTATCTTTTTTCCTCCGGTCAACACTCGGACAATCTGAAAGAAAAGCTCTGTGTGTCCACAAGGACTCAAGAACAGAAGAGCAGGGGCATTTCTCAGTGTGGAGAGAGGAAACCTTCATTTCCCAAGCTCTTGAGAAATGTCACTAGTCTCCCTCACTTCTAAATTCTTCTCCCTCCTTCGGGGCAGGCATGTTCCAGCTACTGTGCATGGATCTGCTTCTGTCCATGGAGGGTGACAGAAATCTGCGGCAAGAGTTACTGCATGCTGGATGTCAGATGGAGACAGACGTATGCACGGCTTTTGATTAGCGAAATCTCTACCAAATTTTGATCACCGCAGTAGAAGAGCAGAACATTTTACGTGTCTGGTGCTGCCAAGATCCGTCCCAAGTGCAGGATTCCAAATAAGCTTAAATAAAGGCTACATGCACCAGACAACTCATAGAGGCATCCCGTTTCAAGTGAGGAAGGCTTCACTGTGCTACAGCCAGCTTTGGGAAAAGACAAGCGAGTCGGAAAGTGTTTGACAGACAATGCATCATCCACCGCAATCCTCTCTCATCTGAAGGACATGTTTGCCTCTGCCATGCTGCTCTATACTCTACATTAGATTTGTGGCCACAAAGTATTTTCCTATAGCAGAAGTTTCAGAACTTTTCTACTGTGCAATTAAAAGCTGCTGTGATGTGCAACCAATCAAAACAGAAGGTTTTGCTTCACTGAAATTTTCAGGTGAAATTCTAAGAAAGCTAAATGTCAGCTTGTGAGATCTGGACCAAAATGCTTGTAGAAATTCATGCTAGTTGGTTGTTAAAATGTTTTTAAAATTTAATTTTGCCACCTGGCATAAAGTGGCCAGTTTCATGAAGTGGAAGTTGGAGGGAAGCCAGGGAGAAGAGACTTCTTTACTTACAGGAAAAAAAATCCCAGTTTTACCCATGGATCACTCGTCTATAGGTTATACCTAGAACATACTTTAGGAAAGTCCAGCACCAAACCACATAGGCCATGTCTAGATAAGCGTGGGTGTGCGATATATGGTGCCGCAGACCCATCTGCGGCATCTCACACTGCACAAGCAGGCATTCCCAGCGCTGCTATCTTGCAGCACCCAGGGAGCGGGGGGGTTTGATCCCAGGAGATCCTGGGGTCAAAAAACACATGCCAAAAAGAAGCAGGGCAGCGCATGTGACAGCAAGGCATGCTACCCAAGACTGGAGCCTAGTTGGCTGGAGCCATGATCTGGCTGCTGGCCAGGCTTTGTGATGCAGGACTGCCATGGCTGGAGCTCCCCGAGGCCCCCAGAACCCCAGGTAAAGCTGCTGGGGTCAGCACAGTTGCCGGCCCCAGCCTCCCCTACCCCACCTGGGGTAACCTGCCATGCGACAGAGCACGCGTGGCATGCATAAGGTGCAAGATATCTGTGCTTGTGTAGGCATGGCCATAGATGGCCCACATCATAGGAAATGGGACTGCAAGGGACCTTCAAAAGGAGTCATTTGGTCCAACCCACTGCTCAAGGCAGGATCATCCATGTCTAAACCATCCCAGACAAGATGTTGGCATTCAGGTTGGATGGGGATGGATATTCCCAGAACAATCCTCCCAGAGCTTGAAGACTACAAGTTCTGCAGCTGATCTCAACACATGTTATAGATTAGTCTCATACGCCTTGGTAGATAGGATGTCGAGACCCTTGTTTGGGAGGGGTAACAGACATTATGTAACTTGACTCAAGTTAAGTTGCGAGTGAATGGAAGAGCTAGGAATCGAACAAGAGCCCTGAATTCATTCGAGGGAACAGCATTACCTATGCATATATCCACTGGGAGTCATAAAGACATCCTTGGAGGTGTAATTCAGTTCAGATGCAGCACTGCACCTAGGGGATGTGAATACAACACATCTCTGGGAGGCTCTTCAGTGATGACCTAACAATATATCATAGCATCATACATCTTCATCACTTCCTCCCCACAATACAACTGAGAAAAGCACCTAAATCCTTTTTTCTTATTACACAGTAGGAGGGTTAACCATTGCCGTGAAGGATAAGTACCTTTCAAAACACAAACAAAAAAGACAAGCAGACAGGAAAGAAAAAAAAGCCTGTGCGAGTTAGCTACACACAGATGCCAGTGAGACTAACGCTTCTACAGTCTTAATTTTTTTAATTTTTTTTCACGCGCTAATTATCTTTATGAGTTATAGGCGCAATATCTGGGAGACGCAGGCAGTAATTAATGCATGTCTGCCTTCCCTGACAAGTTCCTTCTGCTGGGTCAAAGAGTTATTGAAATTCAGAGAAGAAATCCTCAATCATGTGGAAGTTTTAAAGAAATAGGCCAAGACGCAATTTAATAAGGCAATAATATTTCTTTTAAATAATTAACCAGGCTTTGACATTCACTAATATTTCCGAGGCCTCGCTCCTGTTTCGGCGTTATTGCAAGAGTGAGACGTGCTCGGGGAAGGGATCTGGCCACCACATACTTCTTACAAGGCTAACTGGAAATATTACGTTGATTTATTCCTGGCCCTGGAAGTTCCCTGCTCACTGTTGATCCAAAGCTCCTTCCTCCAGGCCTCTCCAATCTGGTTTGTATTTTCATCTCTAACTGGATTTCCAACAGGTCCATTTGATACTCAGAACTACTCAGCTCTTATACCCTGCATACAGAGCCCTTATTTCCTCACACCCAGGGGCTTTTGTCTTCAGAGATACCCATTTAACTTCCACTGAATGAGAGAAGCTGCATTTACAGACCCCTAGAATAATCAGCTTTTGTCTTGCAACAGATCCACAACACTTTGATCCCGTAGCAATGGGTGCAGTAGACAATCCTAAGCGAAAGGGCCAGCTGGGCTAAAGTACAATACCAGATGCTGCTCTGGTGGTATATTCCCAACCAGTTCCCCAAATAAATTCACCCTCCAAAAACATAAAAGGAACAGCACTTTGAATAAAATAGCCATACTGCAACCACAATTCTGCACATGTACATGCAAGTTTCTGCAACATGACAGATCCAATATTTTATATACAGCTTTGCAACCAAAATGATCCTAAAACACCCTGTAAGTTTTAAAAGCTCTGTATAAAAATCAGAACTGCTTCACCCAGCACTGAAGTGCAGACACTTCTGGGTTTGTCTGGCATTAGAGACAGACAGCTGCAGGCAGGGGGGAGAAAGAACGTGGGGAGAGAAAGAAAGGAGAGAGAGAAAATGAGTAAGTGAGTGAAAACAAGCAAGCGAGTGAGAGAAAACGAGAGGGAAATATCCTAAGTCATAGACAGTGCAGGGGAAATTTAGCTCAGCAGACAGTAGTGATCTGAAGTGGACTGCAGCTGGGGGTAGTCTAGCAAGACCAGGCTGAAGTCCAAAGTTTCACCCCTTTGCTGTTCAACCCCAGCACTCGATTCCATGGAAACCTGGGCAGACCATGTCAGAACAGGACCAACAAGGAGAGGCAACCACAACTCTGGGCACTCACCAGATAGAGTCGGTAAGCATCGATCCGCCTGATGGGGCCCCAGCATTTGTCCGTATCGTTATACTTTGTGCCATCTCCAACGCTGCAGGAGTGGTTGCCAGTCACGCTACTGTGTAGCAGGGAAACAAGAACCAAGACAAGAATTCAACTTCCTTCTACACACCAGTCCATCTTCCCCTCTATTCCAGTCAAAGAGAGAGGGACACAAAAGAGATTCCCTCCCAATCTCGCCGGTTTAACACATTGGTCAGTAAATATAAATCACTGGGAGTTATGCAAAGAAACTCAGATTCTTGGGTTCCTTGCACCAAGAAATGTACATGATTGGAGTAGATGGTTCGAGAAACTGATACCGGCACACAGAGACTTGCACTTAGAAGTCACAATTTCAGATTCATCCCAGAGCTGGTGGGACTCAACGCTGTTCTGTTGGTCTGAGTCCTGTCTTTAACTGTGCAAAGGGACCTACACCCGTACCCCTGGTTGGTCAGCTGGCAACTGACAGTCTGGCACTAAAATCTGATTCAGACTAAGCCAGGGCACGTGACTTTTCAGCCAGTTAAGCTACGTCTCTAGCAAACCACTTAATCTTCATACAACCACTTAAAACTTGAGACGGATATGACCCAACTGCACTAACCCCCATTCAGCTAGTGATGACCTGCTCTTGAGCTGTCTCTCCTTCCGTCCTGCAAAAGGCAAAAGCAAAACCATGTCTACTCAACAACTACGCAGTCACACAAGCGTCCACATCCAAAGGCTTCACATCCTCCGTCATTAGCATGTTATATATCCCAATGCTCTCAAAGACGTGCATTCAGAAGCATACTCACCAGGTCACCTGCATGAGAGAGACAGGTACGGCTGCTGCATAGATTGCCAGGTCCCCGTAGAGGTAGATAATGATACAGAAGTAGAACAAGTTCACACCAACTGTAAGAAGAGAGAACATTTTAACAAGGAGGCTGGGGACAGGTGGGTCATAATGTCATGTTCCTAGAAGTCAGTTGTTCATTTCATGCCGCTTTCAAAGACTTTTAGATTTTGTTTGCTTGTCCTATTTTATTGTGGTCAGTTTTCTGTTGAGTGGTGCTGGTTTAAAAGCTTCAGGGCCTAGAAGTTATAGCCTTCCATGCTCCCTCCCCCCTGACCCTCAGACATGCAGCTTAGGGAGTCATAATGGAGACTGACTCACAAAGATCAGCTCTGGCCCAAACACTGCTTCTTCACACAGGCTGCCAGAAAGGGAAATGAGGGCTAATTATGAGGGTTGTTTGGGGGGTGTATGGACCCCTACGTACCAGAAAACTGAGTGAGACCAACTCCTTACATACAAGCCACTCAGCAAGGGAGGGTCTTTGCCATACAACAGGAGCCTAGAAGTAAAAGAGGTGCTGTACCCAATTATTAGCCACCTAAAACAAGGGTTGGCAACCCATGGCCCGTGGGCTGGATGTAGGCTGCAAAAATTATTTTGGCTCAAGTCAGGGAGACAGCAGCAATTGGGGGCCATTGGGGGGAGAAAAGGAATCAATGGCAGCGATGGCTGAACTGCATGCTGCGGCTTGCTTTAGGACAGAGCTGTGTATTAGTTTGACCTGCCATTGCTGAAAGGCTGCAAAACCAAGACCTAAACCAGTTGTTTCCAACCCTGTTAGACTCAAGGCCACCTTGGAAAATGCCAGCTTTAGTTTTCACTCATTTTTTGATTACAGAAAAACAGAGCAATTCTTCTGTTGTAAGAACTTGGAAACAACACGTCAGAATGTTTTTAACACTCTGGATTCCCAATCAACATCTCTAGGTTTATCTAATGAACCACATCTGTACACTGAACACTACTAACATTGTGTGGCACCCCCAAAAGGATCTCAAGACACCCCAGGATATCATAGCAGCCTAGCTGAGAATCATTGACCCAACTGTCCCAGTACTTCTTGTTCTGCTCTCATACACCATCTCCAAAGAACCTGATTCACTGGTGAGCACAAGCCCAATTCCTTTAATAGATTTCATAGACATTAGGTCTGGAAGGGACCTTGCAAGTTCATCAGTCTGGCCCCCTGCCTGAGAGGCAAGAAGTCAGCTGGGGTAAAATGATCCCAGCAAGATAGTTCCCTTTGAGGAACTATTCTCAGGACTTCAACTAAGAAGTGCCAGGGGACTGGTGGGATGGCAACAGTGTCAACCCAGCTGGAATGCAGGGCTCTAGAGAAGAATTTCACTCATTCTCTCCTGCCCACAGAGTCTTTCATTAAAATCAGATTTTACTTGTCCTGCGTTCAGCTGTACGGAAGAGGAGAAAACAAAATAAATAACTAAATCTGAAATAAAAAAGTTAATTTCATGGACAACCCCCCCCCAAAAAAAAACCTTAATGGGAGAAAACAGGAAACTCTGCTGTGGCGAGCGGAAATCAATAGGCATAAAAAGATGCCAAATTGCACTGACCCACTTTGAAGAAATGGGAGCCAAAAGCCTCAATCTAAACAACAAAGCGAATCTAAACAGATTTTTGTTCAAAGGCAAGCAAGCCATGAAAAATCATGCAACTGTTTCACTTTAGGAAGGAAATAAATAAAGGGGAGTGAGTAAGAGGAGAACAGCTTGAGACGACAGCTAATGTTTTGATAGATCTATGCGCTCCCTTTTGTTTTAATCCCAGGTGGTGTTAAGTTTCCTTGGTGGCTTGCAGGACTTGCTAGCTTCTCTGTGCCTCGCATTCGCCATTTGTAAAACGAGGTCAGGTGCTATTGCAGGCATGAAGGTTAGGGCTGATACAATGCTCTGTAGCCTAAAAGCGTTACCACATATATACACTACACCCATCACTGTAGTATCTGGATGCCGTTACGTTCCAAAAATTATTGTTCATCTTCATACAACCACTTAAAAATAGGGCTGGAAGGGACCTCAGGAGGCTGGTCATCAAGTCCAACCCATGTTTGAGGCAGACCACCCATCTCATCCAAGTGTTTCTTTAGGCTGCCCTTAAAGACTCCCACAACCGCTCTACATCATCTGTTCCAGTGTTTAACCACCATTGCAAACAGAAAGTTCTTCCTTACGTTCACCCTAAGCCTCCCATGTTTCAATTTAAGAACATTACTTCTCATCCTGTCCCCTGCAGGAATCGAGAAGAGTCTAATCTGTTTACCATCATGTTTATAACCACCCTTCAGGTTTTTGAAGATTTATCTAATTTCTCTTCAGTCTTTTCTTCTCCTGACCAAATAATCCCGCTTCTTCCAAGCTCGTCTTGTACGTCATGCTTCCTAAACCTCTAAAAAATGTCAAATATTTTGCTAACAAGATATCAAATAAATATTATCTATTAAATTCAATTTGTTGCTGCATATGCGGACTTAAGATCCTTTTAATTAATGATGTGTTGCTTGGAAGGTAGCAAGGTATCTTTCCTGCTTCTGTGAAAAAGAAATCAGAGATGCAGTCCTTAATCATTTTTACCCCACACCATCTCCAACTCATATTTAAGAAGCTCCCTCTTGCATCACTGCATCCACCAATCTCTCAAAACCAGGGTGGCATTTCTCGACACATTAATGGGGGACATGAGACAGGAGACTGGAAGAGAGCACAAGGACTCAGTATATTGATTCTATGGCTTTGTGCGCGTTGGTGCTGAGATGCCATTATTATTGAGTCACTGAAGTGACCTTCATAGTTAAGACATTAACCAGCTTTTCACTTTGAAGTTGAGTCTTAATATCCCTCTCTAACTTCCTCAAGAAAGAGAACCAATTGCAGTCTAAACGCACTTGCCTATATTGTAGCCTGGGAGATTTTTCTTTTTTAGAAGAATTTGAAACAGTAAGGTTGCCCTTGGGGAAACATTTTTACTGTTGCATTTAATAAACAGGAGCGCCAAGTGTTCAGCCCCTCTGGAAGAGTCAAGGCGTTCAATAAACTTCCAATTTGTTCTTCTTCTTTGTCAGAAAAACCCGCAACTCCCACATCTTCCTATTTTGCCAAGCTACTAAGGTCTAGGTCAGGGGTAGGCAAAATGTGACCTGTGGGGCAGACGTGGCCCACCAGGTCATTCTATCCAGCCCATGGAGCCCCTAAAAAATATAGAAAATTAATACTTATCTGCCCCCAGCTGCCTGTCATGTGGCCCTTGATGGGTTGCCAAAACTCAGTAAGTGGCCCGCCGCCCGAAATAATTGCCTGCCCCTGGTCTAGGTGCTCTCCTTGACCCTTGTTCACAGAGATGCACAGGAATAAAGGGTTAAACACCTGGGATGTCTACAAGAAAGAGACAAGCTTCCCCTAACCAAAATCTTTTGGTCAAGAGCTAAGGATTTAAGTGTATTGATTTCTAGGGAGAAAGAGAGAGGCGGCAGGACTCCGCGGGGATGGCTCTGGACAGGGTAGAAGACCTCGAGCAATTCACTTTGCCTTAGATGCCCACATTTGCAAAGTGGGAGTCAGGTTTATCACATGCATAAAGCACTCTGAAATCTCTGGGGTATTTCAGCCTCAGAAAAGCGAAATATGAAATTATTCCATAAGGAACTTGCTAACAAACATCTGTAAGCCAGAAAATTCAGGGATAGACTTCTCTGAACCCCAGCACCTCTGATCCTCTATCAATAAACTGACACCATTCTTCAAATGGAGAGATCCTTTATAATTTTGGACAAGGTCGGGGCGATCACTGTCATGGTTAAGTCAGCACAATGATTTAAGGCTCTTATGTTTGTCCACTTGAAACTCCGGTTCCATTTAAAAAAAGAAAAGAAAAAGAAATCAGACCTGTCAATCTTTGGGAACACAACCCCACCCCACCCTGGCTTCTCTTGACATGCAGGCATTACCCTGTCACTGCAAAGCCCAAAGCAGAGGCAGCGTTCCCAATTTGACTTTCCAATCAGTGGAGAAGTTCAGGTAAGAGATCCCCCCTGCCCCCGCCCCTCTCTGATTGCAGACAGATTCTAGTGTCGGTTCTGTTTATAAACTGCCACTGACCCTCCCTGATCGATACTTTCATTACTGGACACAAAATGGGAAGATCAATGACTTCCTACGAGGACGGGGCGTGATGAATGTGCACAGAATCCATTATTACAATAAATGACTCCTGGATCCCTGGAAGTGAGCACTCTGTGTTGCGGGCTTAGAGAGCCATCCTTCAGAGCAGGCTCCTTTAAAAAGGAAACAGAGCCGGGCACCTTTTATCTTCCTTTACAGCCCAAATCTAAGTCAGCTCCCTTCAGAAAGCAGATGGAGATTCAGAGGAGAAAGATTTATACTCATCTTCACTCCTAGTCTTGCAGTCACATAGTATCAGATTGTTAAGTCAGTCAAGGGAAATGAGCAGAGTGCTCATTAGAAACAGGAGGGTTTTTCCTTTTTTTACAGGCCAATGACTCTGATAGGAATTTATGAGTAGGCCTCCACCCACCGTCTCTCCAGCAGCCACAAAGTCCCACCCCAAACACCTCATCTTCTGTACTACCCAGGACCTGGATCCAAAAAAAAAATCAGCTGCTAATGGCACAACTGCAGCAGAGGCTAGCACTTTGAGCCACTACTTTCCAACTCCAGCCCCAGAGAGCCTCAGTTTCTCATCCTAGAATCCAACTAGCCATTGCACAGCCCCTTTAATTCAAGGCGATTTGAGCTGTACAGCTCCATCAAAAGCAACCTGTGTTCTATGACAGTCTGCAAAAAACACATGTTTAACTTGGCTCTGCTCTCTGTGACCTCTCAGCTTTGAGCACTTCTAACCAAACAGCAGGGCATCTTGAACTAGAGCTCAGGGATGTATCACATCTGACTGAGGGAGTAACAGCAAGTGGGAAATATGTCACAGATCCCCCAACAAGTTACCTAGGTTCACCTCCTGTCTTACCTGGAAATCACAAGGCTTTCATGCTGGGATCTACAGCAGTATAACTTACCTTTCCCCTCCCTGATCTTATTATTTGGAGCTTACATATTTCTGGGAGATTACTAGCATCCAAATCTGATACCTCAAGCTAGAAATAAAAGGGATGATACGCAAAATACTTAAAACAGTTTGTAGCACCTTGCAAGGAAATGGACATTCACATCTTCAGCTGAGGCTAGAAGAGAAGAGTGTATTCCCAGCACCCTCTACTGGAGGAAACTACACCTAATTTAAGAGCCTAAATTCCTCACATGATGTCATCTGCCATCCAACACCTGAGCTGGGGTAAATGGTCATTATCACCACTGTCCCCCTAATGTCCTCGTAGAGAGCAAACTACCAATTTTAAGTTTATCTATGCATTGGCCAATCCATCACCTCCTGCCCACAGTTTCCATAACTAGCCAGATAGACCTGCCATCATACATGGATAAATACCCCATGGTACTACTGAAAAACAGGATTTCCAAGTGCTCTTCATCTTTAAAGTGCATCCCAAATACAAACTCCCAAACTACCACTGCACAGTAGCTTCTCCATATTAGCACCATCCTACAAAGAGGGCAACACAGGGGAAGAGTCTTGACCACAGGCACAACAAATCTGTGTTCGAGCTGGGATTAGAGCCTACACGTTCTGGCTTCCAGGCCAACATTCAGGCTATCTTCTTCCCACCATTACAGACAAGATCTCCAAAATACCCTAGGTGGCTTAGGAGAACATATATCCATTTAAAGTATGCTGTCTGCTGATATTACTTAGGATATTTTGAAAACCCCATCCCTTGAATGTGACTTTGCACTCAAGTCAATGGAGATACACAGGCAAAAAACTGGTGTCACGTAGCGGAAAAGTCAGCTCACTGCATTATAAGAAGAGACTGGTGAACAAAAAACATGTCATTGACCTCCAGAAGCATGGCCCCATGAGAGCCAAATGGCAAGCCCATGGCATCCAAGCATTTGGTTCTGAGTGATATTTCTTCTCAGATGTGCTATTCTCCAAGTATCATCTCTTTCATTTTTATGGCTTCTATCTCTATTGCAAGAGGTGATGAATACAGATTTATATTGCAGCCCCCTCTGTGTGGTTCTTATTTGATTATAGTTACAGGTTTTTGCTTTCTGTTATACAATAAAAACACATTTAATATGAAGACAAGATGTCTGTCTCCATTAGGTGTACACGAGGGACCCATTCAGACTCAGCAGCTCAATCAAAAGAAGCTCTCCTTGTAAAAGTCACTGCCTTACACTTGCAGAAATTCTCCATGCTGCCCCCTCTCCTTTGGGCTGCATCTTAAAATACCGCCACCTCAATGAGCAGCATGTTCTAACTGCTGGCTCTTTCTGTGGATGAAGCTCGCAGCTAAAGGTTTGGACAGTGTCAGGGTCAAGGCAGTCATGCACGGCAGAAGCAACTGTTACTTGTAGTCTTGCACTTTCCTGTCTCAAGGCAAAAACATACAAACACTTCAAGGCTCGTTTAGCTGAACCTACTGTGTCTTTCGGGACTTATCTAGATTCTTGTTTGTACTGGAAAAAAGCCGTAACACCCCATTCTCTGCAGACACAAGCGTGGATAGCAGAAATCCAGCACTATGTGGGTAGGGACTCAGTCCTCTATACCAGGAGTTATAAAGAAACCCAAGAATTTATGGCAACAGGCACCACCAAATTACAAGTGCCCAGGTTTGAGGGTCAGTAGCACAACAGCATCCTCCCCAGTAGGACCTCTGAGGAAACCAGAGTTACCTTTATTGAAGAACATGGAGGCCATCTGGCCCATTTCCACCCTCTCCACGATTTCAAAGATGTTGGGTGAGCCACGTCTCTCTGGAAATAAAAAAGTACCATTGATACCTCTTGAGAAACCCAAAGAAAGAACACATCCAGCTGGAGATAATGCAAGGCATTCTATGTAATGCTCCCAAGATGCACCTCGACTTCTACTTTGCTCCCATAATGCCATCACTCTAAGGTCACAATTGAGAGGTTTCTGAAGCAAGACATTTCTGGAAGGAACCCAGTGGGAACAGCTCTGGGGCTGAAGGGGAAAGAAAAGCTTGGAAGCAGCAGGATAAATCTAACTCCCTACGTACATCTGCCCATCTTGACGGACACGATAGCATTTCCTACAGGAAAATTCCTGGAACATAGATGCAAAGAACTCAGCAGTCACTAAGGACAAGGTGACAGTAGAGTAGTCCCATTTCACTTAAAGAGGACAAAGATAAACGCATGGCCCTCTCTGACACAGGAGTAGTATTTTGCTTCCTGTTAGAAAGTAAGTGGTAATGGATGTCTCACACTTACGAACTGACAGGATAGGCCGCGTCTCTGATCGTTCGTAGCCATCTTGGAGGAGAACGTCATTATCCGAAACCCCAGAGGAAGAATCCTCATCCTCGTCGTCTTCCTGGAAGGTAGGAAAATAAGTGCAACTGCCCAGGTTCTGCCCTGTGATATCGGCTATCTGTGGCACATCTTGTGGCCGCTATACCATGAGGAAGGAACAACCCCGTGACACTGCCTCAGTCCCATCTGCTCTTGGATGAAGGGGGTGGTGAGCAGATGAAAAGTTAGAAAGTCATGATGCCTGGCCTGGGAACGTGGGGAGAGCTTTCTGGGGAAGCAAAAGGATACTGGCAGGTCACTGAAGTGAATGACATAAAAAGCTGGACTCCTTTTGGATAGGTCATATATAGGGATCTCCATAAATCATGCCATAAGTGCCCCCGTGCAGCAGCTCCTTTAATATTTTTTATTCTGCTGTTTGCCCACCTCCATGATTGGCAGAAGGGTCCCACCAGCTGGGCCGTTTGTTGCCGATTGCCAGGGAAGCAAAAACCGCAGCATATTTAAAGCCTCCGCCAATAAGGGGGGTGGGAAGTTTGAGGGGCAAAATGAAAAACATTAAAGCAGCTGCTGTGGCGGGCACTTCTGGCATGATTTATGGAGATCTCTAGTCATATACCCTAGAGCCTTACGTTCAACTCAGTGCAACAATAAAGGGCACCAGCAAGCCTGATGCAAAACGTTTGTAGGTTTGGTGTTCAGCACTACAGCATGGGCACCAGACACATTTGAGCCAACATTACGTAGTGGCCTAGCTGGGCACTGGAAAAGTCACTCAAAGCACAACCTTCCAATTAACACCAGGCCAAAATTTACACCTTGCACTGTGCCATGGCAGCTACTAAATCCAGAACCTGGCAAAGCCAGCAAGAGAATAAATTCCTCCATGATGACACAGAAAAGTGTCCAGGGGCACTGCACAGAATACATGCCTAACAAGGGCATTCAAACAAGCTCAGCTGGAGCACTGGGATCCTGCAGTCCCTGGTCTCGGATCATTTAGGGATATAATACATCTTTCCACACCTAGAATGGGACCCAGATACAGGCTGCTCCCACCCGCTATGCAGCATGGCATTGCATGAAATTAGGAGAGATCTAGGCAAGCATCAGGGTTTTTAAGAAACAAAAAGAAAATTGTGGATTTTACAGGCAACCCCACAGGGAATGACCACATTTTATAGGGAGAAGTTAACTAAGTAGAAATTTATTTCTTTATTAGAGTTACTAACGAGCAAGGCAGAGCCTGCAGTCATCTGAGGGAGCCCTCAGGGATTAGGGGGGAGAGACTGGAAACCAAACAAAACATCACACAAACCTTGCACTTCTCCATTCTCTTCCAATGGAGCTGGGCATTTGCAGCAGCCATGGCCTCCACCACAAAGGTTGTGGTCATATAGCTAAAAGAGAAACATGGTCATTACTGACTGACGACAGGGACCATGGAACAGGCTACTGGGAATTACTGACCCGGCTTTCTGAGGACACAGCAGCTCTCTCCAGCTGCAGTCTCTAACATGTATTGCAGTCCTCAAACTGTTACTAAATGCAAGATGCAGAGAAGGAATAAGTACGACAAGTTTGTTCTGGGTGGGGAATTCTGATGTTTCTCAGATGAAGTTGGCATTTGGGAAGGCCGCATTGACCACCCTGGGAAATACTAGGGAACAGGACCATATTTAGGGGCAGGGGCCTCCACAGCTTATTCAATCCTTAGACTGCCTGAGGAGATGTAATTGCAATGCTGCTCTGCTAGGAGCTGGACTGAGACCAAATTTAAGTCAATTCTACAGCACAGGAGTTGTCATGCAACAGTGAAGGTGAGAGAGAGGTCTAGGCACCATGTTTGAATCCCGATAGGACTGACCTAGCTCCTCATCTTTCTTAAGGAGATCAACCGAGTGCAGCACAAGTTACTGTATGTGGAGTCTTTACACTGAATTCTTGGAAAACAGTGACCTTGTCTATTATGTGTAAATGCTAAAGATCACCAAGTTTTGCAGAGCAGAAACTCATCCCAGTATATACATTGCCAACTTTCCCTGTCCTCCTCTTCCAGCACAGAGAGCTTCCCCAATGTTGGCAGTTATCCTTCACCCCAGGAACAGCTGTATTCCAGCTGTGCTGTATGCACCCACTCCAAGACATGTCCTGGAATGTAAGGCTTTATGTAGATGCTCAGTAACAAACATACCCTTACGAATTTTACAGGATTAGGTAGAAAGATTTTTCTGTTGGTAAATGTAGAACAGAAAGGTACTTGTGGCTGCTTCATGATCTGTTGCTTTGCCCAGCACAAGGCCTTGTGGACTGTTTTCTGCTTAAGCATTTTGAGCCTGTGAGAAGCATCATTTGTCCCCTCATTATCCTCCAAGACTCACCCAGGAACTTGTATCAAAAGAATAAATAGAGACAGAACAGAGCAAAAATACCTAGACATAACTCTAGAAATAGGGAGGTTCCTTTTATCTCAGAGATGATCATACAGGGCACATGGACACATGCAAATGCTGTGGGGCAGGTTTATGCTAGAGTAAATTCACCCTGGGCAGGCATCTACACGTGCAAGGATTAGGGAGAAGATTTGCTGCTCCTGGCAGCAGTCTGCTCCTGCCCCTCTCCGCCCATGCACCAGCCCTCTGCAGCGGGCAGGGGGAACATGGGGCCAGGAGTGAGCTGTCTCTTGGCAGGGGCTGGGTGATTTCTCTCTGCCCCCAAGGAGCTGCTTGCTGCCAGGGTGGGCTCCATTGGCCAATCCCAGACAGGGCCAGGAGGGAGCTCCCAGCCCCAGCTTGCCAAGTGGGGGCAGGGGGCTTGGAAACAGCCACAGGGGAGGGGCAGGTTCCAGCCCCCTGCCCCAATCCACCAGAGGGACAGCTAGCAGTGAGCGATCTCCCAGCCCCTGTTCCATGATCATGGAGCAGGGTCTAGGAGCTCAATGCTGCCAGGGCAGGGGGACAGTGTCCCAGCCCAGGATCTACCACTAGAGGCCACCCTAGCAGCTGGCAGTTTCTGGGAGCAGACAGCAATCTCTCACCCGTTGCTGCCTGGCTGACTGGGAGCAAATTTGCTCCTGACTGGCTGTCTACACATGCCTTATTGTATACTAATTACTTGACAGCTAATTTGCTCCTTGCATTTGCTGGTAGTAAATTAACTGCCAAGTAGAGCAAATTACTGTGCAGTAAAGATCAGCACATGTGGAAGGTAGTGCTTACTACACAGTAATTAGCTGTACTACAGAGTAAAGTTTCTTGTGTAGATGTGCCCACTGAGGCCAATTAAGAACTGCACTGCAAATGCTTGTGGAACAGAAGGTCTACATCTAACTTGCATAAAACAGCAGTTATGGGCTCTGAAACATTAAGCTCCTGACTGAGCTACAAGCGTGTTCCACAGACAGCATAGCCTCTCACTGCAATGTGGCCTGACTTCCCACAGCAAAATTAAACTCAGCGTGCAGTGTCCGGTAATTAGGCTTTCATTTCTCCGCCTGAGACATGCAAACAACACATGCTGGCCTGTCTTACAGCACTGTGCTTCTTCCTCCTCCTGCCTGCAAAACATTCTCAGATGAAGAGAGCTATAGAAAGACACTGCGTTATTGTCGTAGAGTTAGGAGCAACAGGCAGATGAGTTGGACGTCAAAAAATAACTCTGCCAAGAATGAAGAAAAGCTTTGTAAGGAATTAAATAAGGAGCAGGACAGTGTCTTTAAAAGGAGATGGCTGGAGCCACTGACCCACTGGAGGTCCCCATTCCTCATTCCAATTTACTTACCCGCTTTTAGGTATGGATTGTCATTATCTCAGCTCAATGCCCATTTGAAAGGTTCCTATCCCCCTCGCCTTTTAATAAAACCCAAATCAATCTTATTTAAGTCTGTAAAGCGGTTTCTTACTGCTTCACAAACCGAACTCATTCATCAAGTTCAAACGAGAAATTAGTTTTGCTAGGATGGAAGTACGGCAGCCCGTTCCTGGGGTGGGGATAATGATTTCCCCACGTAGGCTACTGCAGTGCTGAAGGTTCTCTAGAGGATATTAGGGAGCCAGAAGCACTAACACTGGAAGGAAATCAAAAGGGCAGCTCAACTCCCAAAGCACATGGTCCCAGTGCCTTGTAAACTCTGGTACAAGGACTGTACCAAGGTTAAACCGAGAAAGACACATGTGGCAGAAGGCACATGGCTGGACAGGGGCTTTAAGCTTTAGAAAGGATATTTCTTTGAAAGAAACTGCTTCAGAATTCAACCCCGACTGGTAATTTCTGTAGTCCTTGTCTATCAATAATCACTCGCACTTTCACAGAGGTTCTTTTTTAGGGTACCACAGTTGACATTTAAGCCTTAATACACCTGAGGTAGGGGATTTGCAAGGATCAATTCATACCCCACTAAAATGCAGCCTCCTCTTGAGTAGAACATGGCAGCTGTTCAAACAGCACCTATTTCCGAAGAGATGTAAAGCTCTCTGTCTCTCC